CCTGCTGATGACCTTGGCAGTGAAGGTGGCCGACTCGGCGATGCTCACAGACTGCGTGGCTCTTACTGGGAACAGGGGGGCTGCGAGGAAGGGGGAAGGATCACGCTCTGCAGAAGGGGTGGGCCTCTGGTGTCACTGTGCACATGGCACCGCGGGCCAGGCCCCCGGGTGCCCTGCGATGTGCTGCAAACCCAAGGGAGTCCCTGCCCACGGCTGTCCCCGCACAGCAGGCTCCTTGTGCCCTCCCCAACTGCGGGTCTGCTTTCTCAGCCCCCCCGCACCTGCCCGCTGTGGGTGCGTAGTGACCTGCAGGACGGCCTTGTGGCCAAGGACATTGAAAGCCGGGCTGGAGAACTGCCCTGGCCCTGGCCGTGGGCTGCTGCGTGAGGCTGTGGGTATGGCACTTGACCTTGGCCACTCGCAGCTTGGTGCTCCTCGCTCTCTGGCCGCCCACAAGACACCGGCAGGGAAGCTGTGACAGCCAAGCCGGCCAAAGCCCAACTCTGGGCACCTTCTGCTGCTGCCCAGAGCAAGGAGACCGAGGGGTTTGAGTAGCTCAGCTGTCAGACCTTTCTGCTCTGCCATGCCCGCAACAACGCAGAATCCCTCACAGCGGGGCCGGCAGGGCCCTCCTGCGGCCACCGCCGATTCAGCCCCCTGCCCCAGGCAGGATCAGACCTGCCAAAGTGCCTGATCAGCCTAAAATCTGCCTTTATAAACCAGGACACTCCAGTGGAGAACGAGACTGACTGGAAGAGCCACCGAAACGCCCCACAGGAACCTGCTACGGGACAGAAAGAAACACTGCTGTGACCGCACACCTGTGGTGGTCGCCCACTACCCTGCACGGGAACCCATCAGAAGACCCAGCAAACAGCCACAGCCCGTACCAGCAAAGATCAAACCTGGAGAGAAATGTTCCCAGCCCCTCCGCTCCTGGCTTTCAAACAGCCCCCAGCCTTGCCCAACTCACCATCAGAACCAAACTCTCCGCTGCCCAGCAGACATCCAGTGGGACGCAGCCTTGCCTTGGCAAGAAATGCTTAACCTGTCAGCATGTCTCCGCTGCCACCACGACCCAGGCCCCATAACGAGACCATCAGGAGCCCTGGCTCCTACATGCTTTTCCCAGTTGGAAGACACCTGATCCAATGTGCCAGGTGCCCTCATGGCAACTATGTGGGTGAAGCAAACAGCAGCCCCACACCAGAATGAACTCACGGGAAAAATATAAAGGCCAGACGCACACCATTAGGAGCACATTTCCCACAGAACAACCACTCGCCCTCTGACCTCGTGCTCAAGGGAAATCTACCCGATACCTTTAAAAGGCAAACTAGGGAACACCAATTCACAGCAGCTGGACACGAAGAACCAAGGATAAACATTAATATCAGGGTTTATGGCATAGCGTATTTCACCCAACCTCTGAATCCTTTCCACACAAGAAGTGTGAGCCAGACCCTCCTGCCTTTTGATCTCCCAGTGACCCGCCTCTTTTCTTCTGCTGGCTGCGTCTGCTACCCAAGGATCTCTCTGCCCCTTCCCACTGCTGCGCTTCCCTGTGCCCGACTGCCTGTGATCAGAGGTCTGAGGAAGAACGTCTTGCATGTGAAATCGTGTCTGACTGTATCCCCACTGTACAGCTGGTCCAACACAAGACAACACCTTAAGAAACCCTGCCAATCTGCTCCTGAAAGCTTCCAGTGCTGGGATTCAGCAGCCTCTGGAGTAGGGGACCTACTCCAACTCCAACCTGAACCTCCTCCTTACAATTTAAGCCCATTATCTCTTGTCCTGTCCCACCCCGTCATAGAGAACAATTGATCCCATCCTCTGCTTGACAACCCTGTTTGTACTTGGAGACTTATCAGATCACTCAGCCCCATTTCCCAGCCTTTCCTCACCCAGGGATTTCCAGACCCTGCTTCATCGTTCCTGTGGATGCAGCCTTCCAGGCAAGGGCCTTACTAGAGCTGGAACAGCGCAAAGTAGCCCTTCTCCTAGCTTGCGCATGGCACTTCCCTACAACCCTCAGCTACAGTTTCCCGACAAAAGCAGCTTGAGGTCAAAATGGAAGACGTCTGGCATGTTGACGAGCATCCCATCAAGGGAAGTCAGGCCAGGCCCACCCACGCCTCTTTACCGCCTCCCATCACATGCCCCGCATAGAGGCTCTGAGGCAGGAAGCTGCGAGACCAGGTGTCTTCTTGCCTGTTCTTATCACTCTGGGCTTGTCGTTGCCTTTTGGGCCCTGGCCTGTGCCGGGGCAGTGCAGTTATGTGGGCTGGGGGCCCAGAGGCTCCCAGAGTTCCCAGAGCCTGCCAACACCAAGCAGGGATGCTAACATGGCAGGAGGCAGGGGGCACAGAGGGCAGCCCTGGGGAACCAGAGGCCAGGGCAGGGAGACCCACTGGCGACGCATAGCGGGTGCATGTGGGTGCACTTGCACCCCTTGAGTGTGGCGATGCACCCCCTGCGAAAAGGCGCCACTGACACTGCCGGGGGTGTCTGCGAGCGGTCACCACTCACCACCCCGCTCGCCACCAACACTGCCAGTGGCATCTGCACAGCGCTCTCAAAAGCTGAGTGCAGGGGAGCACAGGTACAGGGTGGGCAACGGCCACCCCGAACTGAGTACTGCCACCCTTCCAGCCCCAGCAACCCCCAGTCTCAGGCTAGCGGGCAGCCTCCCAGCCCTGCCAGGAGCACCCAGCAGACACCATCTCCAGTTGCCTGGAGGCAGCCAGGCCAAGACACGCTCTGGGCATAGTTCAGCCCCACAGCCTGGTGGGCACAGGAAACAGGCTCCACCACTGCTTCTGGCCAGACCCACCCTGGCTGGGACCAGGACGCCGAGGCCAGGAAGACGCTAAGTTCCCTGAGCACCGTGGTGGTGATGGCTGTGAAAGCTTGGACGGTACCTCTTGCACAAAAATTCGAGACAGTGGCTGGGGCAAGACTGGGTTGTGGTGACAAGTCTGCAACAAAGAAAATCAAATTCTGCTAATGGTTGCAACCCATTAGGCATAGAAAAAGTGGAGCTTGCAGCACACAATAGCAGACCAATGCCATAAAATAATAACAGTCATGATAACAGTCCTCAATCTTCTACTACACCTGAGCCTAAAAATAAGAGTGATCGTCCCTTTAAAAGGAAAATTGTTGGCAGAGACCTGACACACTCATCACATGTGTAACTAGAGAAGGCAAGGACACGACATATAATACATTTCACCTGAACTACCAATTAAAGAAGACAAAAGTCTGAATATATATTTCAAGCAAAACCTGTTAAAGGTGCACTGAATACAGGAAAGATGTCCTGTACCTGACAAAAAAAATGCATGCCTTGCTAAACACATCCTCATATTTCTCAAAATAGGCAACCAATGTCTCAATCATTCAATGTCTGTCTGGAGTTCTGTACATAGATCATCACCGGACAAGCTATTGCAAATTTGCTCCATTGTTAAACAAATACCCAAAGACAAGTCTGGTAACCAGTGCCTTTAGGCATTCTGTTTAGCCATTCAAGACCCATCACATTTAATTGCAGAGCTAATCAGTAGCTGCAAGAAACACAAGTCTTCACAGCTGGACAAATCCAAAAACAGGAACCAGGCAATTTAACAATTGTAATGTGATGCTCACCCTTTTCCTCCCTGTTTTGTTTGGACTTTAATTGACTAACCTTCAAGGAAAAATGCATTGAAGCTATACAATTAAACAGTATAAGAGCAAAATAGAAGTGCCAGCAAGGTGTGCAGTCCAGGGAAGATCAAGAAGCCACCCTGCACCCAGCCCACCAGTGAGAGACCCACGCTCTGTGAAAGCTGTAAGATAAGAACTGCTTCCTGCCTGCTTGAGTAAAAATCTCTTGCAGCTAAAATAATACAAGGACTGTAATAGCTCATGTATTAAATATTAAGAGTCTTTTTCTGTCATTTAGTTTTGTAGCTTGTTGGTAGTTATTAAAGCCTCCATTTTCCTGAGCAGGGACCGGACCAGCCCGCCCCCTGGGAACCCCTCGGGCCCCAGGAGAGGCGCACCCAGGCCTAGGGTCAGTGAGGATCTAGTCAGGGAACTTCTGGAGGGACTGGACGTGTTTAAATCAGCAGGTCCTGATGACATCCACCCCAGAGTGCTGAGGGAATTAGCAGAGGTCATTGCGGGACCCCTGGCACGGCTTTATGAGCGCTTGTGGTGCTCTGGCGAGGTGCCAGAGGACTGGAAAAGGGCCAATGTGGATCCCGTTTTCAAAAAAGGGAGGAAGGAGGACCCAGGAAACTATAGGCCCATTAGTCTTACCTCGATCCTGGGTAAGCTTTTTGAGAGAGTTATGCTGGTGCATGTCCGCGAGGGGCCGGCAGGGGAGGTGATGCTCAGGGGCAACCAACACGGGTTCGTTCGAGGCAGGTCCTGTCAGACCAACCTGGTGGCCTTCTACGACCAGGTCACAACATCCTTAGATGCAGGGGTAGCAGTGGACGTAGTCTTTCTGGACTTCAGGAAGGCCTTCGACACCGTCTCTCACCCCATTCTCATTAAAAAACTAGGGGACTGTGGTGTCGACACCTACACAGTCAAATGGGTTGCTAACTGGCTGGAGGGCCGCACCCCGAGAGTGGTGGTGGACGGGTCATTTTCGACCTGGAGGGATGTGGGCAGTGGGGTCCCGCAGGGCTTGGTCCTCGGGCCCGCACTGTTCAACATCTTCATCAGTGACTTGGACGAGGGGGTAAAAA